AACATCTATATAATTCATAAAATATTAATCTGTTTAATCGTCCATTTCTTCTTCAAATTCGAACACAGCCGCAGACCTTGAAGGTGTGGTGCCGGCGGAGCACCTTAGCCTCCTCACCCTGGAGTCCAAAGCTGCTTTCGCAGCTTTCCAGACGCTTTGACGGGTCTCCACCGGCACCATATAATACTTATAAATACACTGCAAAAAAGATTGATTAGAAGCATTGAAAATCGAAAAATGATATGTTCAACTTACTTCTTTTATAAAGCTCACCCGTGTTGCTGTGGTCACCCGCTTTTCCACGGGTAGGGTGAGCTCCGTTGTATTGCTCGCGTAGACCTCTTTTTCGAGGTCTAACGCGAACTTATTTACGTTCCCCCCTGCTAATTTTCTCAAGCCTTCCAAAAAGGGACGACTGGCGTAATCGTACGCCAGTTCACCTGTACAGAAACTCACTCTACTGCCCCAGATATTACCAGACTTTTTATAAGAAAACGCATACCTTCGCTGTCGATTCTTCTTGGCGTTCTTTTCAGGATTTCCTGTGAGTTGGTCCTTGTCTCAACTCCGACCCCCAGAAGGCGTTGTCGTTGTTGCACTGCCTCGAGTTGCAGTGCTCGAGTTCCCATTTCTGATTCGATTCGGTCCAATTTCGCGTTAATTTCCCCAACGGAACTTGTGAGCCTTTCCAGCATTTGTCTCTCCGTTGAAGCTACTAAGCTATTATTCCTTAATAATTAGAATATTTGCGAACGGATTTTAGAGGAATTTCCTATTTCTTACTCTAGAGTGGTCCCGGTGCACCTGCTGAATGCCGGATTTTGGACCTCCCCTTCTTCCGTGATCAAGGGTAATTTATTTTCACAAGTTTCTCTGTCGCCAATGCACATTATCTAAGCTAGGAATCATACATCGTTGATCTTTCTTTCGAGAAGCTCTTACCTTTGCCATGTAGGTTTTACCGTACCACTTGGCTTTGGTGAGTCGCCCTACGAGCGGCTCACCGATGACGTCTGTCATTGGAACTACGTCTGAAGTCTTCGTTCTCGTGAAATACACGGCCGCCCACATTAATTCCTCACTCATTTTGCAGTGTGGATCTGAATCTTTACTTTCTTCAAACCTTTCTCCAGCTAAACACTTTAGCAGAATGATCGCTGTTCGCTGCCCGATACTCAGGTACCCTATGGGGGCGTGTCTATTCAACTCGACTAGCGGCCTTTCGCACTTCCACATTATCCCATAGTATCAACGCCTTTGACACCATGTCGTCTGTGGGAGATTATATCGATCTAATATTCTCCCTTCATAGAGCTGGCGAATCTATGACTTATATTCACAAGAAAGTACAAGAGGTAACCATTTTGAACAAGAATCTGAATAATAAATGTCGTTAATCAATTACAGAAAAATTCGAATATTTCTATGCATAAAATCAAAAAATTCATCCGAGAGTTCCACTCAGCACGAAAGCCTACCAGAAAAACTCCCTATCAACCAAGAAAACTTGCTGGTATAGACAAACCTTCATACATTATGAATTTAATTTCCTTCGTTTAGCTAACTTTGACGTGATTACAACCGTTATCCGCAGTAACTACCGACAAGATAGTTCTACAACTGCAGCAAGCGTAGCTAGACTACTGCAAGCTCGTAGAATTTCTGTTGGCACGACGTCGATCAAATTTTTGAGAGATAAACTTGGATTCAAAAGAAACCCAACAAAATACTGTCAAATGATAAGAAATGAAAACAAGTTGAAGCGACTAGAATTTTGTGAAGAGATGATCGCGAGAAAGGAGCTATTTTCTGATTGCATCTTTACTGATGAGTCAACATTTCAAAGTATGTTTGTTTTCTGATTATTGTTGACTGTTTATACGCGTACTAATCCCAGTTTTTAGTCGGAAACTCCACGAAGTACAGTTATGTCGAAGATGGAAACGAGGTTGCGAGGCTGCGAAGCCGTGCGAAGCATCCAGCTAAACTACACGTTTGGGGAGGGATTTCATCCAGAGGAACCACTGACATAGCGATTTTCAACGGGACAGTACGGATGGATTCCAAACTTTACTGTGAAATATTAGAGGATTGTTACCTAGGCTTCTCCAATCGAGCTTTCAACGGTATCACACTTCCCCCCTATTATGCCACAACACTATCACATTCTAGGAAATGCGAGGTTGGTACAGGACAATGCCCCCGCGCACAAGAGCAATTATACGACAAGGCGCCTACAGGACTGGGGTGTCAATACCGTGAACTGGCCACCCGAGTCGCCCGACTTGAACCCAATTGAATTAGTTTGGGGCAGTATGAAACTTCACATTCGGTCAGTTTCCTTACATCTTATACCTGAATCTCAACCTTATTTGAATGTTCCAGTCGTCAACACCTTCGAACAATTGCGGAGCTAGAAGAATCCATTCGGTCATACTGGCAGAGGCTCACGCCGGAGATTTGCCGCAGATACATTGGAAGCATTCAGTGGAAAATGCCTCTGGTTGTGAACGCCAGAGGTGGAAATATAATAGAAAAAAAACCGAGAAAAACGGACCCTATGGCGATCTCTGAAAGCGAATCAGAGGAGGATGATGACTGGTTTTGAGTGATACTCAAATGGATTGTCAAAATTCAAAATGTGTGTTATTTATGTAGAAATTTATCTAGACTTCTATTCGTGATTCAAATTACCGGTATATGACGAATTTCTAATTTTATTTGTTCGCTTTGTTTGTCGAGCACCATAGCTTGTGAATTGGTATATAAATAAACGATTGTATCTACTGAATTTTGTAGCACTTTATGTACAACAAGAAAAAAAAGAAGATTGAAATTTTCGCCTTAGATTGATCATTAGGAAAATAGACTGACATGTTTTGGTCCCAAGATGCCCTTGGTCATCAAGAATGATTAACTTGGGATTTG